TCAGACATAGAATCTCATCAGTTGCAAATCCACATGCCAACTGCAGAGCTGAAGTTGCAGTAAAGATGGTAAAACGTATGCTTGCGGACAACATCACAGCCAATGGTTCCTTAGACGTGGATAAGTTTCAGAGGGCTTTACTTATATACAGGAACTCCATTGATCCAGAGATGAAGGCATCCCCAGCCTTGATCCTGTTTGGTCGTCCGATCAGAGATGCCGTACCAATCGTAATGGGTAGATATTCGCCTCATGATACATGGAAGGAACTGATGTCGAGTAGAGAGTTAGCTCTTGCCAAACGCCACTCAAGAGAGCATGAAAGATGGAATGAGCATACCCATCAGCTACCACCACTGCAGGTTGGAGACCATGTGTATATCCAAAACTTAATGGGCAACCACCCAAGGAGATGGGAACGCACTGGAGTTGTTGTTGAGGTCCGCCAATACCACCAGTATGTGGTACGTGTAGATGGCACAGGAAGGGTTACGCTAAGAAATCGCCAGCATCTGAGGAAATTCACCCCGTTTAACAGCAATTCACCCAGTGCGATTGAAACGATGCCGAGAATGCCACAGCCTTCAGAAAAGACTGTTACAGATGGTTCATCCTCGACTCAGAAAACATTGACTCTAAATCCATTGAAATGTAGCACACCACAACCTTTGCATGTGACTCCCAGGGTGGATGGCCCTTCTGTTCCACCACCTGTTAACCATGGTTCACCTGCTACATCTGGAGAGGTCTCACCTGCAGTCGTGACCCCAAAATCAACCGCTAAGTCGCGTTTATCGCCAAGACGACTATTGACGGACAAGGACGAAGTCGCTCCTCCGACAGAACATGAAGACAAACCGAAGGTCACACGTTTACCCCGCGCTCTGGCTCGTCTTCAGCCGCACAATGCACCTGGAAAGAAAGAGTTGTTGACGCCTGGAAGACCACGCCGCAATACTAGACAGGATTCCATGGATTCTGCAGAGAATAACTGATTATTGGACAGTTCAATTGATCTTTAATTACTAGTGACTGAAGTACAGTTGTGATATGAAACATTCCGTAATTTGATATTTGATTTATACAGACCTTTTAAGTTTTATTAATGCCTAAAAAACTTGTCCCCGGGGGAGGAGATAACTAATCATTTATGTAATGTAATATTATTTCTATATGTTTCAGGTATCAGTCATCCTTAGTTAATTAAAGAGTTACTCATTGGATGATGGTTATCATTTACAATGGACATATTTCGATCAGAAAAGCTCACTTGAGCCTTCGGCTCAGGTGAGCTAAAAAAAAGTTTCATCCTTTTCCTTTGGAATGCCGTCGACAGCTTGAAGCATCAACTCTGTACCTTGGCATGGTGCAACAGGCCCTATTGCTAAATGTACTGACATATGTAAAATATTCCTGAACAGAATTGCAAACAGTCCAATTTCTGAGATACTTGACACTTTAAGGGAGGGTAATCTCCATTTGACAGGATATGCTTTGCATGATTGAACAATTTATGCTGAGATCTTTCATCTTTTGACCAATTTAGATGCACTGATGATATGAATTCAAAATCTGTAAAAGCAATGACAAATTGATGTTTGAATTAAAGTTCATAATTGATATTGCAATAATTATGATAATCAAAGAAGACATTCTAGTACAGTAAATTTTCATTTATACCCAAAAGCAAAAGAGCATGTATTTTTTGATGTTCTAAATGACATTGGGAATTAGGGAATAATTTCAATTTTACAACAAAGGGACCTTGGCAATGCTAGCCTGAATCACCTTTATTTCCTACTTTGTAAGAGATCTGCCTTAAATGGCTAATTGAGTTTAATGCAAACCTGCAAATGATCCAAACATAAAACAAGCTAATTCAGAGAATTGTGGCCCCCACTTATGGAAAAAAAATGAGGATGGAAGAACTGGACAAAAAAAAACATGCAGATGGAAAAAGAAAAAGGTCAACCTTAACCTTTCAGCTTTTGGCCTTAAAGTCAATTGGTGCCTTTTTTTATTAAAGAAATAAATTCAAGACCTCAAAGAGAACCAAAGTTATCACCAGGACATTATTTATTGCAAGATATGAATTTTTCAACTAAACCTTTTAACTTTGAAATCAAATGGGATTTCTTTAAGTCATTGGGAATTATGATATAAAATTTAACAGAAAAAGCTCAAGGGAAACTAAAGTTACTATTTGAATTTTTTTTGTATTGTAGGAATTTCCAACCTTGACCTTTTGACCTCAAATCAATAGGGATCTTCTCTAGGCTGTAAGGAGTTGTGATATGAAATGATATTGCAAAAGCTCAAAGGCTTTAAGAGATATTGTTCCCAAATTAAAGTGTTATAGTACATACATGTACAGACAGAATGACCAATGGACAGACCAATAAACATTTATTGGGGGGGGGGGGAGGCTGTTACCTGCAGGTATTAGGTCATATGTTTTCTGTTATGTCCATGACTTCTTCCATTTTCCTCCACTCTTTGCTCTGTAAAATATTATTGAAAAAGCCATGAAGTATATATACCCTTATACATTACAGTTAATGCTAAAAATGCTAATGCTGAAACATTTTTAATGAATCATAATTAAATAATTTTAAAGCTCAAAACTTGAACTATATGGACTGGACTTTTCAGTTTATCAGTCACATATTCAGGCATCTTCACCATTTAGACCTAACTTCACATAAATTGTTCTTTGTTATTTTACTTATCAGTAATGTGAATGAGCAGTTACATGTACATGTATATTATCATGATTATAGTAACTTGTATGTATACATTATAAAATGTTAACCACATGTACAAACTCTGGTTCATGTCATTGAACTGCATGAGAACAATGTCCACTTAGTTATATTTTTCAGTGTGGAAATGAAACATATTTGTTAATTTTATTTTTTGAGATATTAAACATTGACATTATCTTTATTATTATGTAGTACCTTAAAAATATTATATTATATTACAGTAAGTGATCACCTGTTTGGTTTGATTCAATTGTTGCCTTGTCAATAGGAACACATTTCTGCTAAAGAATAAACATTAATTTTAATATTAACTATACAATACTTAATAATCCTCATAGTTACATGAATACTAATAACCAGTTATGTACACATAAAATGAAACAGAAATCACACTATCAATGAGTACTAAATATACTTGAATGAGAACAAGAATTAACAAGTGGACTGCTGCTCAAGAGTTTTCACTTTTTACATGTATTTCAGCTATAACATAATAAAAGCAGGTAATTTTGCTTCATAAGTGAAACTTGATGTATAAGCTACTGAGTAAATTTTAGAAATAATTTGATAAAACTTTTACATATAATTATAAACACACAGTATATGTATATGTACCTTTAAGCTCTTCCTTCAGCTTTACTTCCAGACTGATTATTTAATGTGTGTTTCTATACATCTTTTGCATATACCTGTAACAATTAGGAATCAAATTAGTTGATAGATATAAATCATTATAGATTGGACATGTAAGTTGTATAAACTTGATATCAATAGGTTTTCACAAACTATAAAGACAAAGTCAGTAAATATTTCCAATTATGATATATCACTTTGTGATATTATATTTACATGTATAGGGTTGTCCTTAAGACCTGTGGGACTGGGGAATTTCTTCACCTATAATGACATAATTCCCCAATTACTCTGGTATTGCCCTCACTAAGGGGAGGAACCCCCAACATGCTTTTTTTTTTTTATAAATCTGTTTCATTTCTTATTGACAACCCAAATATCATGTACAGTGTCTCTCTGAAAACTTTAAGGTCAGAAATTAAGTTAATTTCCATGGTTTAGCAAAATTCCTTAAGTTTTTAAACTGCATAATGTTCTTACCAGTTCCAACAGGCAAAACCTCATTCAGCTTGACCCTCTCGGTTAACGGGTTTGCATAATAGCGTCTCCTCAGGTATGGGTGACAAATGTTCTTTTTTTTCCTTTTCCAGTGTAGACCAAGTATATTTCTGTGTTTGACACATACATGTACATGTAGGTATGTTTACAGAAATTAGACTGTCCAAGTCCCATAACAGCTGCATGGTTCAAGATGGTTAACGATAAGAAGCGTTTCAGGGACAGAAATGTCTTCTGTGCTGCATTTAAAATACCTTGTATATTCAGCTGAATCTATTTTACAATCTTTCAACAAAGCTAGAGATCTTTTATCATAATATTGTCCTCAAATCAACACTTCATCTTTTCGTCTGCCATTAAGACATCACACTTTTAATTCCTTTAAATAAGGAGAGTTCCACTAAGGGAGATAATTTTTCTAATAGTTTCAGCCAACTTCAATCTATTTTTAAATTAGCATAATGCCATTTGCAACCAAATTCCTTTTAACTGTATATTGATTTTGAAGGATTTTTGCAATTAAACTGATATTTATAATGTTTTAAGCGTTTCTTGGGTTTTTACAGCATTCTAAAGATAGTGGTATTTTAAACACATTGATTTAATCTAATTTTAGACCCCACTTTTACAGAATCAGTGTTGATAAATGAAATTAAATAAAATATTTCTAGTTAGAGCACTTCCTTTGAATTTATTTAATATGTAACATTTGAATAAAAGTGCATTTTTTCCTGCAATTTTTTTCTCTTAATGTATGGGTGTTTTTCAAAATATTTTCATAAAATGTGCTAAAAATAGAATATAGGGCTATAATAGGGATCCCCAAAGGTACCTGACAGTTTTGATACTGGGATTTATTAGAGGACACATGATGCTAATCAGAAACAATAAAATCAGTCAAAATGATCACAATGCCTTTCATAATAAAATTTGGATTTTGCATGGTTTTCTCGTAGACACGCATTTAAGGATAAAATCACTAAGAAATAATATTCTTTCTCCAAATTACATATATTAAACTACAAAATGCGTTTAAGTTTTTCATTACACTGAAGTCAAAATCAACTGAATCTGATCAATTGGTATATCTGTTATTATTTCCAGGGACCTCCAGGAATTGATGGTCCAAAAGGGGATGTTGGGAACCCTGGAGAGCAGGTCCATTCATTTTTTCAATCTTAAATAAAATAATCATAAAACAGGACAAACCCTAATTCACTAATAAAATGAATACAGCGGTAAAGCTCACGTTAAGTAAACTAATTTGTATTGATTCTTCATAGGGTATAGCAGGGCCGATGGGATTCCAGGGCGTTGCTGGTCAACCAGGAGAGCGGGTAAATGAAAATCACATTCTATACATTCGACAAAATTGTTTGAAAAAATTCATTTGTCTTACTCTTTTCAAATGGATATTGAATAGGGAATTGAATGTAAAATTTTCACGAAATTTAGGGACGTCCAGGTTTTGATGGCGACAGAGGAGAAATGGGACCACCAGGTGAAAAGGTAATCTGATATGTGATACATGTATGTTAGATCTAATTTTTTCTTATGTCAAAATTTCGATTTGCTATAATTTTTGCTAAGAAAGAAAACACATTGATATTCCAAGTATCTTTTGCCATGTATGTCTGACATCAATTATTATAATGTATTTGATCCTTAATCTTAGGGTCCACCAGGATATCCCGGCATGCCAGGATTTCCCGGACCAAAGGGAGAACGGGTTAGTAATATGTAATTATGTAAGCTGTCATGTTATTGCTAAGTAGTTCTATAAGCTATCATACCGATATTATTGTTATATAGTTCTGTAATCTGTCATATTATTGCTTTTTAGTTCTGCAACTTGTCAAATTATTGCTACTTAGATCTGTAAATTATCATAATATTGCTTGTAATTTTATTCTTATCATTTTGAGAAATAAACTAAACCGTTACAATACAACTTAAGATGAATTAATTCAGATACAATAAATTACTAAAATGAATTATTAAATAGGAAGACGATCCTTCAAAAAGATGACAGGAAATCGGGTTTTTCTTTTAAAAATAGAGAATAATCACATTTAAGTTCGAAACGGTAAAAAGTTGTATTCATTGCTTAACAAATATGTCTAAATCTTGCACACGTACAAAATAATAGTGTCCTTAGTGTGATACAACTTCTTATTACAGAAATGACATCTTTAAGGATTCAGATAACAATTTTTGGTCTGAGTTAAGGCAATTTCTAATTTCAAGATTTAATCTACAATTTTAAAAACTTTCAGGCTTATGATAAATTGATATCTATATTTACAGGGATACATTGGACCAACAGGTGCTACTGGACCAGTGGGACCAGTAGGATCATCGGTAGGTAGATGTTCAAATCATACACAAATTGTTACATATTTTCAATAAGTTATCAGCCTTCAATGACTGTATTTATTGCTTTACAACAAACAATGATTTTTTTTTCTCAGTTGTTTTGTTTAAATGTTATTTTGATAGAAAAATAAGTATTTTAATATTTTACAGGGAGACATCGGTGAACAAGGGCCAGTTGGACCACCAGGAGAAATTGTAAGGGCCTTTAGTTTGTTGACTTTTCTTAAAGGAGTTTATTTCCAAATTGACTTCTTTCCTACAAAATATTAAGTTTGAGTCTAAAGATTTACAATTCTTTCAGGGGCCTAGGGGATTCCTTGGACCACAGGGCCGACCTGGACCCATGGGATCTCCGGTATGTGAAACCTATTGAGACAAAACATGTAACTGAATTCATTATTTACACAGATTTATGCATTAGCATAAATAACATTATGTTGATTTTTGTGAAAGGGTCTGCCAGGACTTGAAGGAGCCCCAGGACCAAAAGGAAATGAAGTAAGTTTTCAAGCTATATACTATATTCAAATGAATAGCCATATTTTTTACTCCAGTTTACATCCTTTTAAAATACTTGTTACCATTTCATGCAATTTGTTTTTTTTTTCACTGCAGGGTTTAGTAGGAGCGCCCGGTGCCCCAGGCCAGTCCGGTGCCCCTGGAGCAATAGTATGTTTTCAAAAGAACAAAAACCAAACAAAACATTAAACCAATATGAATTAAATGATGACATTTAAGAATCAAAAAAATGTAAAAATTTTACGAAATATTAATGTATGGATTCAGATAGATTTTGATTTTAATTTAGGGACCTCCAGGACCCCCTGGACCTCTTGGACCCCCCGGAATTCCTGGCCCCATGGGTAAGCCTGGTCTCCCAGGTTTGCCTGGACCAGTAGGACCACCAGTAAGATTATATTTGTTTTCGTTAAAAGATCACAATGACATACACACTTAAATAAACTCATATGAACAAAGCAAAAATAAATAAATAAAACATTTGTACAGCAGCAAAAGTGATAGATAAAAGAGCTCAATTGATTTTTCTTTTTTTAAATATGTAAATTAACAAATTAAGAACGAGAGTTCTCTATTCTGAAAAGAATTATTAATTAGGTAAAGAAAATCACTATTCCTCATGTTGAGGATGCAAGTCCGATAGAAAAAAATTTGATACACAAACGATTTATACAATGACCAAACCGGTATATTTCACATGTATCAATGTAAATTTGATTAAACTCTAGAAAAGAAGACCCTTGTCCCTACCCTGAAGCACTAATCAAGCAGACACACCCCCATCTTCAAAAAACAAACGAACAAATAAAACACCAAAAACCGAAAATGGAAAGAAATGACGTTTGACTAATTTGTGTCAGTGAGAGAAGTTTAAAATGATTCCTCCTTCACATTTAAGAAGCATAGTTAAATATACTAATGGTTGATTTCTAACTTAATTTCGAGATCATCTTTGCAAAAAACAAATCTTCATTTTATAAATGTGTTCTATACTAGTATACACTTATCCTCAAGTAGATTATCTGGGCAAAATAAGTTATGTAAAACTTTTGCTCCTTGTTGCAGTTCACAAATCTGAAAAAATGTTATGCATGAACCTACGATAGATATATGCATACATTGTATAGGTATTGCCATTTAACTCATAAAATGAAATGTTTGAATTTTCTTATCAGGGCAATGCAGGAAAAGATGGGGAACCTGGAATAAAGGGAGATGAGGTGAGTTTTGCTTGACAGAGAAGAAGGAGAACAGATTTCAAATTGTCATTTTAAATCCATATTTTCCTAATTGTTCATGTGGCAATAACAATTTACCGTAAAGAGAAGTTGTCATAGTGAAGTATAAGATAAATCATTGTATTAAAGTCTTTCTCATTTAGACCTTCAAAATAATATAATTATTATTTCATAGGGTGTCATGGGACTGCAAGGTGTGACAGGGTACCCTGGACCACGTGGAATTAAAGTGAGTTGTTACCAAAATAAAACTAAAGAAAAGTAGAAAATAATCCCAATTAATGTTTCTCGTATATAACGTGATTTCGTTGTATTATGAATAGTAACATCAAAATCTTGCAGGTGAAATTATTTCTTTTCTAATGAAATATGGAGATAACGAACAGTAATCAAGCTCAAAAGTCCATCGAAACAATACAAACTGGGAGAAGAGCAAACACGGACCTCTAAAAACATCAGAGGTGGGATCAGGTGCCAAGGAGGAGTAAGCCCTGTCGACCAGTCACACCCGCCGTGTGCTCCTTGTCAAGATCGGGCAAACAGAAAAATCCGTAGACAATTCAGTGTGTAAATAATGGCCTAACAATTTGTATGAAAAACGTCGGTCAGCATTCGACTTAATGATAGATTGTATTTGCTGATAAGGTAATTGTATTGACTATAGAACTTGCAATATGTTGACTTCAAACGAGGCTGTTGATAACATGCTTTGTCAATAGCTTGCCTCGTTTTAAAAATTGTTCGTACGTAGAGCATGCTTTTGCGTATTGGTTCAGCTGGGAGACATAAACTTCATATGCAGGTGATAAGGGTATATTGCTACATAAATTAGAGAAGTTGATGATAGAAAAGTTGAAGTCATCACATTTATCATAGAGTTTAGTTGGGTTACCATTAACGTCTTTTTCTAGTAAAATATCCAAATTTGTTTGTTCTCAGCACTATTTTGATATATGTATTGATCTTGAAGATCACTCAAGGTAGAATAGGAATATGCTTTATCAAGTTTAAGGGGATTTAAATGAATTATCATAATACCTTTAAATTCATTATTCAGTAACTGATTTCATATTTTGTATTCATTATTTAACTTAGATACTTTCAACCTATAAGTAGTAAACGTATCTTGCCTTCCTATTTTATGTGTTTTTTCAAGACGCATTAGTATTACAGTTGCTTACTTCTAGAATAGGTTTTTTCAGGCGCATTAGTATTACTTTTCATACTCTATCGAAGGTATAATTATGCTGTGAATAGTTGTATTCTGTATTCTATAGGTTTATTTAGGGTACGTTAGAATTTTGTTGCTTTCTTTAAATAGAGTTTGATCAGAGTACATTAATATTTTGTTGCAACTACTACTGTGTACTTCTTCAGGACAAGAAAGTACATGTGTTTCATTGGTTTATTCCATTGTTGTTTTATTCAGGTCATTTTAGCACTACCTTGTTTTCCTAATTTAGGTTTATAACATTATTGTTTCGTTGCTTTCCTCTATCGTAGCTTTGTTCCAGTACAATGGAAATGTCCCTTTTTTGTTTGGAGAAAAATCATTTAATTTAATTTCTATTTTGCGGTTTAATTACATGGGCGTATTAGTATAATTTTGAAGTTTAATCACGTTTGATACTGAGTTTTTTGGATATATTATAAACTGTAGAGTTCTTAATATTTTTGAGTATCTTTATTTCATTGCAATGTGCTTTGATACATGTATTACATTATTTTATTGTAGGGTGACTCGGGGCCTCCAGGAAATCAGGGATCAAAGGGCGAAAAGGTTAGAGTTATTATTTTTTTCTAATTAAATTTCTTCAATACAGTGGATGTATTTAAACTTCCTACATTTATCTTTTCGATGTTAGGTTTTCCCGGATTTGGTCATTGCTATTTTATGAATCATAGACTAGATTTTATCTATAGCCTTAATGAAATGGTAGAGATAATGATAGAGGTCAATCTCACAAATTATATAAACCATACAAATCGTGAAAAGGCCAAAAACACGGATCCCTGGAAAAGTAAGTGGTGAAATAAGAAGGCAACCCTGTCGATCGGTCACAATCGTCATTAAATCCCTGTATTGGTCACGTAAACGAATAATTTCATATTCAAAATTATTATGAAAACAGTGACCTAACCATTTGTATGAAATTTATCGATAAGTTGCATTTGCAAACGCAGGCCCGTAGGAAGCAATTTCAGTTGGGGGGGGGGGGGGGCACAGCCATACATTTTCAGCTGAGGAGGCACTACAAAAAATTTCCCGACAAGCAAATAAAAAAAGTCATCAACTACCAAAAATTCCTTGACAAGCAAAAAAAGAAAAAAAAGGTCATCAGACGTTTTTATTGAGGGGGCACAAGCCTATAGTATCTAAGTTTACTATAGTAATCTATATATCGGTAAAATTATTTAGGGGGCACGCCCCCCTCCCCCGGTTCCTACGGCCATGGAACGAGGTCATTATAACGACCAAGAGATTTGAGAAATGTTGACTTTAAATGAAACTTTGAAAGCCATGAACTATTTCGCCAGTAGCTTGTCCCGATTTAAAAATTAAATTTTCTTGGCATATGCCTTAAATTACAAAATCACTTGGTTATTATAAAACACACTATATAAATAAATAAGAGAAAATCACCACGGAAAAGCTTAAGTCATCCCTCCCGTTTGTTGTTAAATGCAGTTTTTAGTTTGCCATTCATGTTTGTATTCAATAAAGCATCAGAATATGAAACAGATGAGGTAGACTCTGTGGAGTATTGACATACAAAAGAAAATGAATATTATTAATTAAGAAAACGTAGGCGATATATCTAAATCTCGAATTGAAGGCTAGAACAAGAGTTTTCTTCTCAAGAAGATTTTCAATAAATTCTTCTTAATAAGAAAACAAAAATAAGTTAACTGGAAAAAGAAGACAATCTAAATCCATGGGATTTCCAAAAAACTGTTGGAAGATTCCGTCTCCAAAGACTACATCTACTACAGTATGTTTTTGATATCACCTTCAGAGTATTCAGTCAGACTGAATTTAATAAAATAATTTTGTCGATCAATAAACGTAAGATGAAAATTTTCGAAATAAATTTTTATCGAAGAAGTACTTGTCTTTAAGAACATTGCCTTCCATTTATCGCGAGGAATTGCTGTATAACGTGTTGGAGAGTCATGCTTTTTGATATTTTTGACTTTGCGGGGGGGGGGGGGGGAGGAGGGGGTTGCTTTCAATTTTTCAAGTTATTTGGAGTTTTTGTCTTGAATTCCTTTGTTAAAATACCGTATTCATTGGGTATAATATGTCAAGGACAGATGAGATGATCAGGAGCTTAACCATGAGTGTCAGTGAATTTTTTTAACATATTTCAATTTAATAATTCAATTAAAAAAGAACATTTTTCCGAAAAGCACAAGCCTGAATATATAATAAATCTTTCAATGTACCTTCTTCAAATAGTCTACACAAAACAAAAGACGATGCAATTAAAAACATTTCGTGGCCTTAATCTTAATGTAGTGTTTAATCCCCCGTCTGTCTGGTTTAGGGTGATGTTGGATTGGTTGGACAAAAGGGAGATCTAGGATTCCACGGGGAGAAAGGTCTGCAAGGAGAGCCTGGACCCCCAGGACTTGAGGGAATCGAGGGGGCAAAGGTAAGTGTAGATTGTGATATGTCATTTTTGTGACAAGTATATCATTCTGCATTGATATTCTTATCGTGATTTTCGCAGACCATTGATATTTCCAAAAAATGTATTGAAAACACGCTTTTTAGGGTCACAAATTATAGATCGATTTTGTACTAAATTTACTAAAACAATTACAATCTAATTTATAATAATAATTAAACAACAGTTTATATTGTATATACTTTGTTTTATAATCCTAAATAATAACCAAGCTTCAAGAAATAGAGTTCTGAGTTAGGAATTACAAAATATGGTGTATGGCCAGTTTTCTTTTCAGAATTGCATTACATTATACATGTAGTAACACCGTAAAGGTTGATAACATCCAGTGAAAAAAAAAACAATATCATTAGAGTGTACGTAAAATGTTGATGAACTAGACTTTTTATATAGGGAAACCCTGGACCTCGTGGAGAAGCCGGAGATGCAGGACCTCAAGGAGAAAAGGTCAGGATCTGGATTTTTTTTAAAATAGAATATGCATTTAGAAAAGAAAAGAAAAATAAGAACAGTAACAGTTCATGTAGTAATTAACCTAACGAAAGGCGTGATGATTTCATATTTTAATAACTTTCTGTTTGTAACTTTTTTTAATGTGTTATTCTGTTGTAGGGAATGATGGGACCGATAGGAATGCCGGGATACCCCGGACCACCAGGACTCGTGGTTTGTAAATATGTTATATTTTGGAATTATAAAAATGTAACAATCATTTTACTTCAAGTAAAAGTTCCACTATCATCTATTACACTCAAATATATTTTACATCATAAAAATTACCATTCTTTTCTTTGTGAAGGGACCACCTGGGAGATCCGGGCGTCGTGGAAGAAGAGGAGCGCGAGGGAAACCTGTAAGTAGTTCAATCCAATACTGCTAGTATTTACAGTGAAGATACTACTTCTCAATTTGAAAGTAAACATGTAAAAGTACATTTAAATACCTTTGCAGGGTTTGCCAGGACCAACAGGAGATATTGGAGAGAGGGGACCAATCGTATGTCGCTTTACTTTACCTCAAGACTATTACATGTATTTAAATTGATCTTCGGTTCTTCATTTATAATGCAGAATAACAATGATAGTACATGTATATATCTGATTATAAAGTTGTTATTCCACTCAATATGATCTGTTTCTCCCTTTTAAGTTATATAAAATGGGCATGCATGAAAAAGACAACGTATCATAAATGTTATATCATAATTGATCATAATATTGAAAAGGGACCACCAGGCGAGAGAGGTAAACCAGGAATCCCCGGGCCAGTGGGACCCAAGGGACAAGCTGGAAATTCCGGATCCCCAGGGTTCCAAGGAGAACAGGGTATTCAGGGTCCCCCGGGACCTGCCGGTCTAATGGGTCCCACAGGACCACAGGTAATAAAGTAAAATCCTATCTTTGTTGCGCTACTTACAAAAATTAATGCATAAAAGTAATGTTTCTGAAATCTCCCACATATATGCTTGTTATCAGGGTCTTCCCGGACAAGATGGCATGCCAGGCGTAACAGGAGAGAGAGGACTTCCGGTAAGTGACACTTTTAACTTTCTGCTTTAGACCAAATTTGACATACTTCTTAGGATTTCGTCATTCCCCTACATGAATCATAAAACCTTATGAGACACCTGCTACAATAGCGCAGGTTAAAAAAACGTATGCATATAATGCAGATATGTTCTTACAATATACGGATTAATGTAAACATCATTTTAATGATTTATTATTATACATAATTAGCTTAAATAGGTAAAAACGAAACAGAAAGGCATAAAGTAACAAAGAATTTTCATAAACAGGAAAAAAAATGGAAAGAGAAAGAAAGAAACATGGATACAAACAATACAAAATAACTAATCTATTTTTGAAAAATGCGAAAAATCTAACAAAAACAAAAGAGACAATAAAAATTACCAGCCCCCTACTCCCTTCCGAAAAGAAACAAAAAATGTATACTTACTCAACACTGAAGATATACAATTATCATTTACTGGGCAAGACTTATGTTCTTCATATTTTAATTCGCCGAAATATGGCTGAAATATTGCTGACTCGGCGTTAAATAATAATAATCAATCAATCATAATTTTAAATACTGTAATGCTTAAAATCACTAAAAAACCCCAAAATAATGGAGAGTGTAGAATGACTTACAGATATAAACCTAATAATGAATATGTCCTTAGAGAAACAGATAAGTTATTGAAGGAATACTTCATAATTTAAATGATATTTCAGGGTACGCCGGGTATTCCCGGAGCTCCTGGACAAATGGGAGTTATGGGACCACAGGTATGTATATATTCTGTTAATAATCAAGTTAAAAACCATTTTGTAGAAAATAGCTGAAAAGACATTACAATAAGTTACAAATGATATCTGTTGTCAGGGAGCTCAAGGAGAACCCGGGTCTCCTGGAGACAGAGGCGCACCTGGAATTCCGGTAAGATGTTATTTAGATGAGTATACATGTATATTAAAATTGGATAATGCTTTTTCTGAGATTTATATTACATTGATTTTTTGGTGCCATGCTACACCAAATGTTTCTGAATATAATATGTGATGATTTTTTAAACACAGGGACCTCCTGGCGACACTGGGCTGTCTGGAGCGGCAGGAGAAAGAGGACTTCCGGTCTGTATCGCTACTCCGAATTCTTAAACAACTCTACGAATCTTGATATATGATATGAGAACTTAAATATGTATCATAATAAACAAAGACACATTCACCATTCCGCTTTGGAAAAAAATACCTGATAGTTTGTAGAGTTTGTGTAAGTTTGTTTTACTTATTTCAGGGACCGCCTGGGCCACCAGGGAACGAGGGTGTCCAAGGCCCACCAGGACCAATAGGAGCCAAGGGAATGAGGGGTTACCCTGGACCACCAGTAAATACGTTGTTTAAAATAAACAAAATCAAAGGCTATTATGTTTTCAAATTTGTGACATAACTCAGTCACTATTTTCTACATTTAAAGCAAACCCTTGCTTTTTTATAGGGAAAGGATGGTCTTCCGGGCGAGCATGGATCACCGGGGCCACAGGGACCAAGGGTATGCCTTTTACAGAAAATATGTAAAGGGAATGGATCAATGGAAGTCTTTAAACATCATTGTTTCAAAATTGTCATTCTGTATTGACTTGTTTTCTGTTAGTATTTGGGGGTTTTTTCTCAAAAAATTCAAGAAGAATGCACTTTTTGGTAGAAATTTATTCAATTGATTATGAGAGTCTAATCAATTGTATTTCCAAACTAAAATATAACAAATTTAATTGATAATTTGACAGGGAGAGAAAGGTACAATTGGTGATACTGGACCAGCAGGAAGCCCTGGAATCACTGTAAGTATTTAAAAATGATTTAAAAACCTTTCAAGACATCATCAATTTTATATCAGAAACATTCCTTCTCTGAAAATTTATTATTATTACCAAAATTATACTTTTTAACGCTAGGGACCACCAGGGCCAATAGGAGCAGAAGGACCCCCCGGAACAAAGGGTGACATTGTATGTTTTAATTTTGTTAAATGTGTTCTCTTCTCTCTATCTTTTTCTGCAATTGAATAATGATCAGACAATAATAATTTTTGGGTTTTTTTCTTTCCTAAAATGTACATCTTAATTGTGATTATGTATGTCTAATGACAGGTGATTTATTTATAGGGAATAGAGGGGACTCCAGGCTTACCCGGTCCAGAAGGAGCCCAAGGACCAAGAGTAATAAATAATAATTCATTCTTAAGCATGTATCTTCACATTAGTACTTATCTCAAAAATTTTAATGCTGCAAAATTTGTGTTGCATCATACTGTAGCTTACCTGAATTAGGTGAATCAAATTGTTTTCGCTAAAAATTGTCAAGTATGTGTCTGCCCATCTGTTGTGTGTTTTCTTTCTTTTCGTCTGCTTTTCTCAACACCTGTAACAAAATTTGACAAAACTTTAACTTTTGTATACGTACTTTATGTTTTGTAAATATTGTTTGAGGTACTTGATTATGAACTCGGGGCAGATACAATCATGCTCCAAGCCTTTCACAAGTTTTTTCATCGATATTTTATAGCTAAAATTAATGAAAGTACAATAGGTATTTTAAGATTTTGCAAATTATATAATACATACAATTGACATTTTAGGGATACCCTGGACCCCCAGGACCAGTTGGACCACCAGGTGAAAATGGGGACAAGGTTGGTACTACATGTTGCAAAAATAACAACCGTACATAACAAAAGTTTGGAAAAAAGAAATAAACTTGAACGAAGACATTTTTAACAGTATATAATGACGGGGGACAGTTGCTGATTTTAGTCAATATATATTTAAGATTTTTATGATTATTTTTTACAGGGACCACCAGGAGATCCTGGAGCAAGGGGACTGAAGGGAGACCATGGAGAGATGGTTATTTAAAATATTTAATCAAAGATTAATGAGATAATTTATCAATCAAAACACCTTTAAATGTTATACATGTATGTACAAACATTAAGTGAAAAAAAAATTGACACTATGTACATTTTTTACAGTAAATGTGTTTGTGAATGTGAAGATAAGAACACAAAGAGAGAAAAGAGAGTTCTTTAAGTTTAAAAATTTTTCAATATTAAATCTGGTATTTCTTTTAAAAATTAGGGTCCACCAGGACCACAGGGACCTCAAGGACTTCAAGGAGTTATGGGACCACCAGTATGTGTCTTTTTAAAATCTTAATTAATATTCAGAACTTTTAAAAGAAAGTTGGATTTTTTTCCCTCACAAACTCTTAAAGATTGCAAGGGGGTAAACTTATACGATATTTCTTAATTAAATGGTAGTATATCAAAGCATTTATATTCAATATAATCTATCTCTTCTAAGGGTCCTCCAGGAGAGCCAGGCATCCAAGGTGTACAAGGTCCTCCCGGTCTGAAGGTACGTAGAGGGGATGATGAAAGGCCAAATATATTGAACTCTGACCCAGAGTTTTCTAAATGCTGTAATTTTTTTCTTTCTAAGCAAAAGAATCAAAGTTGAGTACATTTAAAGTCAGTACTAAAATATACTTACATTGTTCCACAGGGTGCTACAGGTCCCCGAGGACTTCAGGGTATGCCGGGATTACAAGGTCTGCAGGGACTTCCGGGTTCTATCGGAGAAAAGGGAGAACAAGGAGACAGAGGAATGGATGTGAGTGCTTCAATAAAACTATTATAACATCTTTTTTTAAAACGAAGTTTGGAATCCTTGTAAAATCAACTTATTCTTCAGTAGCTTGCCTCGATTTATAAAATATATCATACTCAGACCATGCTTTTGCGTATCGAATCAGTTGGGAGACATAAATACCATAAGAAGGTGATGCTGCATTACTACATAAATAAAACGGAAGTTGACAATGGAAAAACGGAAGTCATCCCGTTTTCATACAGTTTAGTTATTAGTTGGCCATTATTGTACGTAGGCATATTCAAGTGTTGAGGATAAATGTTTGTTTAAATAATTACCTCCTTCCAAGGACAGGATGGGGCCACAATAGAGGGGCAGCGTTTTATACTCTATTATATATGTGGCAATGTTGCTAAAGTCATCTTCTCAAGAAAGTAGGACCATCATCAATGCAATAGGTTTTGTGAATTTTCATATTTTACATTATATACTTTAGTGCATAATTAATAATTGTTTTCAGGGTCCCCCGGGTGCACCAGGTCCCCAAGGAGAACCGGGACCGGAGGGCACACAGGGTCCAACTGGTTTACCTGGTCCCCCAGGATTCGAAGGAAAACAGGGTTTAAAGGGAGAACAGGGTGTCCCTGGTCCTGCTGGTCCAGCAGGAATAGACGGTCTCGCGGTATGTTCAAAATGTTGTAAAATTGAAAGTATTTTTTCTTTCTTTTCTCTTGTCGGAAATTCCATATCGTTTCAAATTTTTAGATAATTTTTTAAGGAATCTAAAACATTCGAGGTTGTATTCATTTTTTTATTCAGATATTGTCTATTTTCAATAACACTGGTTATGCTGATATATTTACATTTCCAATGACTTTGTCCGAGATAAAATTACAAATTGTAAAAATACTTTATTTCTACATAAATCTACTGGTTCATCGATAGGCGCGGTTAAAAAAAAAATCACGTGCGGGGCGGGACAAATAGAGACAGAATCGGGGCTATTAGCACGGGAATTTGCAGAATCCGGAGCATGTAAATATAAGGAATAACTGTCAGATTTTTTGGATTCATGACGATGATCAATCGATTGGTTTGCGTGATAATTTTATGCATAAACGCCTTCGGCGTTTATGCAAATTATCACGCAAGCCACTCGATTGATCACATCATGAATCCAAAAAATAAGACAGTTATTCCTTAAATAAATAATTTTGAATTTGGTAAATAACATTGTGCAATAACAGGGAACAGTTGGAGAGCCAGGACCTAAAGGTGAAACCGGAAGACCAGGACCTCAGGGACCTTCCGGAATCAGAGGCGAGCCAGGCATGCCAGGACCAAAGGGACACGCGGTAAAGAAATAACTTTATAATATTTCTATATCATACAGAGACAAAGGTATTGTCTATTTTTTCATATTCATTTTATTTCCTATTTGAATTTTGATTCAGGGAATACAAGGTCCTCCCGGTATTCCTGGACCACGTGGATCTCCAGGTTTGAAGGTAAAAATGCATTTTACTGGAATATTCATTTACGTTTTATATTGGTAAAAACGGTATGAAAAAAACTTTTTGAAGAAGAGGAAATGAATTTTTTTTTTCATTACAATTGTTACATATAAAATGCATGCTTTAGGGTGAGGCGGGACGTGACGGACCAGAAGGAGAACAAGGCGTAGCGGGACCAGTGGTAAGATTTCAATCAAATTAGCGGGTCAATAAATTGGAGAATCGGAATAAGAGACACCAACTACCTTATTCCATGCATCCAATTTAACAACCAGTACTTCAATGCTTATAATTTACATATTCAAAATAAAATTTCATTTTTTTATGTGTAGCTTTTTAAATTCATTTGTCAATATGTAACAAAATCTTTTTGCAGGGTCCGCCAGGCGCTCCAGGAGAACCCGGACTTCCAGGACAGCCCGGTAAACAGGTATGATACATTTTTTTAATTTAAAAAAAAACAGAACATTTAATTTTTCCATTATAAATTGTTAAAGTTGAATTAATTGGAACATTTTTATCAGGGTGAAATTGGAAGAACAGGGTCCCAGGGTGAACCAGGACCAATAGGAGAGAAAGGAGACCGTGGACTCCAGGGTCCAATGGGAGGGCGTGGTTTACCAGGATCGCCGGTATATACATCTATAACATCCATTTTGATCAAATGACCATCAGAATTGATGTTGAATGATAAAGAAGCTAAGTATTTAATAGCGATTCTCTGTAACCACTTAAACTTCTTTGCCACGCATGGTCACCGATTTTGATGAAACTTTGCCCATTATTACAACTTGACACCAGAAACATATATCAAATAAAATTTCGTTGCTATGTGTCTTGGTTGCCATGGTAACAGCCAGAAAAGTTGAAAAAATTGAGATTTTCAGCTACTTTAAATCTTTATTAAGCCTTAATAAAGACTAAGAAAAACAAACACACTATTCTCCCAAAAACATGACACCTTGTTGCCACTTATGCTATAAAGAAACTATTTAGAATTTATCTCTAAGTAAGTGGTAACCATGGGTACATTTGGAATACATTTTAGATGCTGAAAAATGCTGAAAAACGCTCAATATTCACAAATGATAGATGTTACATGATCAAACTCAATCAAAAACCTAAGAAAAGCAATGAAAAATATTTACCTTATGTGATTAGGTATTGCCAGTATTATTCGAAAAATAACTTTCATGGTTGCCATGGTAACACAGTGTCACCATGCAAAATCTGTTGCTATGATTGGATTAATGCTACTATCTTGAGGAAAAACAATAAAATTCATGACTGGCACATATACATCCTTAGGACCTTGCAACACCCACAACATAAGAAAAATTGAGATTAATTGTTACTTTGCAGTGTAACCATGGAAACAAAGTACTAGTTGTTTATTTTTTTGCTGCCTTAGGAATTTACTAACCTTTTAATCAAGAAACATATTATTTGAATCACCTTGAATAGTACTTATCTCATAGAACAAAAGTTAAATATCATATATTGATAAAGGTTGTTGAAAAATACAATGCTGTTGCTATGGTTACCAAGAAGAGAAAATGTTCGATTTTGTTAATTTTATGTCAATATTAGACCCTATGTGCCAGCTTTTTGCATCCAGTTAGAGATTGGGTGGTAGTTAAAATTGAAAGTCAGGTTAGTTGTTCACATATATCAATCATAAAAGTTTTGGGAATCTACAAACAAGGGTACGTATCCAAGGAAACAGAGTATTTTTCAGATTTTTATGCATGTTTTTTCGCCTTATTTCCATAGCAACGCACTATTTAAGGAATTGAAATTGAATTTTTTGAAATGTGAAAATTAGGGTCACACCAAGGCCTTTAAAAATTGATCATCAGTTATATAGAAATATGCTTTTTAAAAAGATAGGATAAGATTAAAACACTAAGAGAGTAAATTTAAAATCCCTTCATGGTATTAAAACCATGGCAACCATTGCCAACCTATAAGAAATATCATATTTTGTCCTTGGTATATGTTACAAGGATCTCTTGTCTATTATTTGCTTGCATTTCAACCTATAATTGTTTTTATTCTTAAGTGTATGACTTTATAAAATTAAATGAACAAAATTATTACTTTTGAATACTTTGTTTCCATAGTAACGTATGTTATAGTTGATTTACCAAACATGTTTATCATGCATTTAAGACATCAGACCTTCAACTTTCAGAAACAGTCATTGCCACTTGTTTGCTTTGCTGCAAACGTTAACTGTGGGACTCTGAACATGTTGAAAAATGCCATTTTTCAAACTTTACAACATGTTGCTATGGTAACCATGATACGTAGCAACCAATTTTTGCCTGATTTGAATTTACGGTATCAAAGACTTTTATCATAGAGAGTTTGGAGAAATTCTGAGACTATGCGTGCCACAGCTCCTATATAAAAGTTCAAGTCATTACAGAGAATGGCTCTTAAAAGTTTGGAATGTCAGTGTTTTATGAATGTTCTTAACAGAAATACTGAATAATACTAGTAACTTCATTAATGATTACAATTTTAGGGCAATCCCGGACCCCCAGGCCCCCCGGGACCGCCGGGCTCTCCTGGACCAGTCGTACGTATAACAAGTTTTTTCTACCTACGACTGTAAATAGTTACTTAAAGAATAAAGACTAACGTACGTCAAGATTTTTCTAACCACTTGATACATATCAATAAGGTAGAATACGGAAATGGGCATGTCCTTCAGATTTTGAAAGTGATAAATTTTCCTTTACCACAACTTAAACTTCTTTTGCAAAACAAAAATGATTTTTACAATTCTTGGAAAGTTTATACATGTATACCTATACAGTTAATTGATAAGCTGTTTACGTCTTGCAGGGCGAAGCAGGTGCTGTTGGTGCTCCTGGAATACCAGGGGAACAAGGACTACTGGTAAATATGTCTACTGAAAAATCTTACTCGGAAATACATGTGTACTAAATGCACCATTAGAATTTCATCACTGTATGTTTTGTTACAGGGACCACCAGGACCAGCGGGTGCCAAAGGAGAAATGGGGGATAAGGGAGAGAAGGGACACATGGGCCGTGTGGGACCCCCGGGAGTTATTGGTGACCCTGGTCCTAAGGGAGAACCAGGAGAGCCCGGGCCTCCAGGAATTAAGGGTGAAAGGGGACCAGCGGTAAATAATTGTTAAATCTACAACTACCATTAAATGGTTTCTTAAGTTATCCATATTTAGAAAAGAGAACATGTACTACTGCATACAACGTTATTTCCTGAAACCTGAGACTGTATATTTTGTATTTCAATATTCTAGATTCGGCAAACACTTAAAATAAACACAGTGAAGTAGAATTTACATATATTAAATAGTAGGACAGAAAATAGCAAAATAGCAAAATATTCATTTTTTAATGGGCAAATTGAATGCTTTATACAATATTTCTACAAATTTCATCAAAGATAAGAAAAAGAGAGACCATGTAAGATGATACTAACAAATATATATTTCTTGTTAATTTCCTCTAAACTGTATAGAACTAACCTTTTAAATGGTGGTTGTAGGGACCGGAAGGTCCACCAGGGTTCCCAGGCCCGGAAGGAACTCCAGGATTCCCAGTAAGTCTGAAAAAATGTGATTTGCGTTTTATTTCTGAAAAAAGTTAAATATGAATAATATAAGCAAATCTTTTCTTTTAATAGGGGCCACCTGGACCACAGGGACTCAAGGGAGAACGGGTATATTTTTAATAAAAATTACTGAGTAAAAAGTTTCCTTTAAACTATATATTTGAAGAAATTTCGATAGCTTTTATCTATATCTATCGATCAAATCTTAATTATACATGTATATGACGTGGTCGGATTTCATTTTAAGCTGAGTTATTAAAATACAAATGATGCTACAAATAGGTTTCAAACCGTTGTTGATTAGAAAGCATCGATTTTTCTTATCCGTTCTAGGGAGACACAGGACCCAAAGGTGACCCAGGTCTACCGGTACGTATTATCTTGAATTCATAAAAGAAACTCTCAGTCGTATTTTGTTTGCTTTTTTCAGTGGAATCTTTGTAAACTTATGACAGGATGTTCTGACAATTTACCTCTTTGAATTAATCAACATTAGGGCCCTACCGGACCCCCTGGTCCCCCTGGAGCATCTCAAGCCTTCCCATCCAATTTCTTCTCCTCATCTTTGGCGCCAAAAGTACAACAACGCAGACGAAAACGTGCCGTCAATCAACATGAGGATACTTTCGAATTTGATGTCAACGAATTGGTGAAGGAAATGGAAAGCAAGAAATACGAACTCAAGGAAGGTGTCACTCTTCTGGTCGGCAAAATGTTTGGACATATACAAAAGTTAAATGATGAGATTTCCAAGATTCAACACCCAACAGGGAAAGAAGGCAACCCTGGCAGTACCTGTAATGATATCAAACTAGGAAATCCAGACTCCAAAGACGGTCTGTCATTTCTCTTGTCTCTAGCTAATAAACTTTTATTCATATATTTTATGAGAGGAAAATTTAAATAATGCCAAAACGAAAGACAAAAAGCAACACTTTGGTAGATTGAACTTCATATTGCTGGAATAAAAAAATCTCCTAAAAGGAATATGCAGACATGACCATCTTTTTCTTTAGTTCAAACTAGTAAATACCTTGCTAATTAAGGTCTTCCGTTCCAGACGGAAGACCTTATAGTGATTGTACTGTTTATTATTATTATTATTATTATTATTATTATTTTTTTTTTCCCCTTTTTTTGTCGGCAGGATTTCTCAGAGATGACTGGATGGATTTTCCTGAAATTTTCAGGGTTGATAGAGAATGAAAATACCCCGAGGCGTTTTTTTCATTTTGTCAAAATTCACTTCCGGTCGTCAGATATGTCCGATTTCCGTTTTTTTTCAAAAATATTTTTTCCGAGTGAGATCTCAGAAACGGTAAGAGATTAAGACACCAAACTTATACGAGTAATAGATCATGAGGAGTAGGCGAGCCCATTTGGGTTAAGCGTGTCAGCCGTCACTTCCGGTCGTCACAGGAAGTGATCAAAGAAATCGAAAATTTCAACTTTTCTTTTTTGAATTTTTTTTTGCATCCCATTATTGCATCTTATGTGTAGTTTTGAAATATGTCAGTCCCACCGGAAACAAAAACGACAACTTCCGGTTATAAGAGGAAAACTACATAATTTGAGTAATTTACTTTCCCTTAAATATCTTTTGTAGTTAAAGTATTTGAAAAGATTTTTAGATATGTTATTCAGACTGCAGATGTCTAGAGTAACGTCAAAAATCTTAGTAAAATTCACTTCCGGTCGCGTGTTTTTCCTGTCCTCAAAATGAAAAGTTATCTGAGCGAGATCTCGGAAACGGCATGAGATTAAGACACCAAACTTAAATAAGTAATAGACCTTGAAGAGTAGGCAAAACACATAGGGTTAGACGCGTCAGCCGTCACTTCCGGTCGTCACAGGAAGTGATCAAAAAATCGAAAATTTCAACTTTTCTTTATAAAATTAAAACTTGCATCACTTTGTTGCATCTCTTTCGTGTTTTGAAATATGTTAGATTCCACCGGAAACAAAAACTGCAAACTTCCGGTTTAAAGAGATAAACTACGTTATTTCGATGTTTAGCTTTCTCATAAATATCACTTAAAGATAAGTATTTGAAATGTTTTTTTTATACATATGCTGTAGATACTACAAATGTCATGAGAAAATTCAGAAATTTTTATTCAATTCACTTCCGGTCGTGTGTTTTCCTGTCCCAAAATTAGAATGTGTTCTCACAATTGCTCGGTAAGAGTAAAAGACTGAAGTCTAAAACTTTCAGGACTTATAGTCAGTCATCAGTTCATTTGCATCGTGTAAAAATCGTCTGTCGTCATTACTTCCGGTCGTGACAGGAAATGAAGAAAAAAGTAATTTTTTAAGTTATTTTGTTTCTACATCAGTTTTAGGCTTATACCGACGTTGGAAAAGACATGTTTATGCAAACAGGAAGTAGTATAACGGAAGACCTTCTCATTACTAGTAATGAGTTTCTAGTTTTTTTTTATTTCTATTAACAGGCTGGTACTGGATAGATCCCACCCTCGGGGCGTCTGGTGATGCTATCAAGGTTTGGTGTAATATGACGGCAGGTGGAAGTACCTGCATCTACCCAACCGAGGAAACCAAACAGGTAGCGTTCATCATTCTTCTATGTCGTAGCGTGTCATCTATATTCAGTTCCAGTCTTCTTGTACAAACTGTCAAACATAAAATAATGTCCAAAATGAGGATGTAGTGTTTCATTGCTTACAGCTGTCTGCGTAATTAAGGAGTGATATTCAATAGCATTTACCTACTGCACGTTGTGAATTTTTGTTTTGTAGTCTCCACTACAACCTAGAGAGAGAGAGCTTGGACAATCTTTTAGCGGACTGAAATCTGGATTCATGATTGAATATCCCGATGAAAAACAGCTTAACCTTCTGCGACTGTTCAGTGAACGAGCTACCCAGACATTCACTTATTATTGTAAAAACGCACTGGCGTGGTTTGATGACATGTACAAAGATAAAAAGAGAGCGATTATCCTGGAGGGTGCTGATCGAACAGAGCACTTAACTCAAAACTTCGACAATGTAGTCGATGGATGCAAGGTAAGTTATATCAAATTTTTATCAGTTTGACAGAAATGCGTGCTCTTGCACGTGCGTATGTGTAAAGCAGAGGGTACGCATTATGATGTTTAACAGACAGTTCTATATTGTCTTTTAAATAATTTGTAACGTAAATTATATAAGATCAACTTTAAGATGGTAAAAATTAATTTGCAAGTAATTTTCATATTGAAAAAAAAACGATATTGATGTCTTTTGCAGTCAAGGAGTGCAGATGGAAAAGCTATATTTGAAATTTCAACAAAGAAAATTGAAAGTTTACCAATTATTGACTTTATACCAAAGGACTATGGACAACCCGACCAAGAAATTGGATTCGAAGTTGGACCCGTGTGCTTCTCTTAAATTCACCACACCTTAGCTCATTTTGACATTTATTATTGGTTTATCATTTTTATGTTCAGTTTGAACACAATATTTATTGAGGACTGCTTTGTAATGTTCCAATATAGATACATTGTATGTTAATTGGTCTCAGTATTGTATTGGGTGTAGCCTCTTGGACGATGTAACTAAATTTAGTCAATAGCAAACACTGATGGTAAACTCGGTTTATCATTTACAGCGAAACTGTGATTAACCATTATATAGGTTACGTTCATTTGTAATCGACACGACATCCACAGTACATTATATAGCAGTATTAATGTATCATGGAAACCTATACTCTCATATTCTTATTACACTAACATTAAACATAGCATATGTATGACTGGCTTAATATCCTCCGTTAAATAAGAGAAAATACGGTCCCAAAATGAACCTGAGCCACGTGACCTACGTCTCGTAATATTTTCTGTTTATTGAAAGTGATTATTTTTTCAATTAATTTTTTTTAATTAATACCACAGTATTAGTGATTGGAGAGTAAGGCACTGATCTCACGTATTAATTTCCTTTGTATTGTCGTTGCATGTTCCATGTGTAAATTGCATTGTTTTTATTCACTAGCTCCTGTCACTGCCGACGCTGTTATAATCATGAATTACGAATTAAAGAATAAATTAAATTGCTTTTAATTCCGTTTGTTTTTCAACTTGTAAAGTTTTAATTTATTTATTTAAAGTCGAGAATGATTTTGCATTGATTTATGTTTTCTGATCATCGAATCATACATGTACGTTGATCACCTAATTCAGCGAAATGTTTGTCGTTGTATGCTCTGAACCCGGCCTTGCGTGACGGATTTAATTCAGATCCAAAAGTTTAATACTTTTTTAACAACAACAGGTTAGCCCTGTTGAAGTTTTGACAAAGTTGAGCCGCTGGCTTATTTGGGATTGTATCGAGGCTTATCTCCCAGTTCCTCGTTCTTACAACTATAATTGAATTATTTCATACCACAGTCGTTTTCTTGAGAAGCTAATTCTGTAAACTTCTAGCAACTGTTTGACCGAAAATTTTCAGTGAATAAAATGTGCAAAAATCGTATTTTAATTTTAAAAAAGCGAAATTTATGCGTGTCCTCCACTTTTTACAACAGTACTGGAGAACAGTGGGATGACATACATGTACGGAACGTAAAAGTTTGAATATCAAAGATAGCATTTAGAACTTTTCCAAACCAGGCCCCAAGACCATAAACTGAGAACAGACTTAAGTCAAAATTTCAAATCAGTGTAACTTTTGAAATAAATTTCAAAATGAAACAAAATTTTCAAGTTATGTTTGTATTATAATATTTAACAAACTTACAAGTTTTTAAGCATGTTCGCTAAGTAATAATTAAAATATTCAAAACCTAAATTTTGACTTAAGTCTATTCTCATTTTATGGTCTTGCAGCCAGCATTTCACGTTATGGAAATTATCATTTTGTAAACTTTTAATTTTATGAATTGTTTACTCCTTTAAGCGAAGTCGGTAGTATTTTAGCCATATTTTGGCGGAGGTCAGACATACAAATGGGGTTTGTTTAATTACAAAATTTACACAAAGTATTGGCAAGGGACGTGATTTTGGTAGGAGGCCCTTTAAAATGTCCATAATGACAATCAGCCATCATCGATTAAATTGCAAAGAAAAACGATTTACCAAAATAAAACTGTGATCAGGCGTTTTATAAAGAATTTTCTTTCTTAAAAGTGAACAGAAAAATAAAGACTAAACAAATTCGATTGAATAATCTAGATTTAGACCTTTCTGACACCTTGTTTTCGTTGATCTTCATGATGGAAGTTTAAAAAACATGTGAGTGATTTCTTTCTCTATTCACCTAGAATTTCAGTAGAAAGTACGATATGAATATTATTTATATTCGCTATATTAGCAACACATATGTATATCCTTTACCACTGGTCTTTAAGACCAAATCCTGTCTTCAGATGACATCTCTGCGGGGAAAATGAAACAAAAAAGTCAAATGGAACTCTTATACTTAACTACCTTAATTTCTGTTCTGATATTTCCAATATATATATATATATATATATATATATATATATATATATATATATATATATATATATATATATATATATTCCCTTCCTGTGTATAATGGAAGAATTGACGTGCATTGTAAATATATACTAGGAGAATAATTCATGAAAAGGAGGAGGAGGGGTGAAAAGCTCTGAGTGTTAAAGTTTTTCCGTCTACAAGCAGCTTAGTTAGCTCCAGAAAATTAAATGGACATCTCACAGCCTGAAAGTGCTGTCATAATTTTCACCGATTTTATGTACTGGTATACATTTTAGCATTAAAACACCACCAATCTGATTAAAATCAGATCCTTTGACCCGCTCACATAGATCGCTACACAAGGTAGCGATCTACGTGAGCGGATCAAAGGATCTGATTTTAATCAGATTGAAACACCACATGTGGAAGAAGCGTCAATAGGATAGTTCTGATCTTTAAAAGTAATATTAACGATTAAAAGGATACATTCATTTAATGCATCATAAATATGTATACAAATATGAACAAATTTGGGCGGTGACAAAACTTCGTAGACTATTGTTTGCGATGCGTGATGCAGATAATCTGTAAAGAAATGGTATAAGATAAGTAAAGATATAACAATTTGGTTGAGGAATCTTCGTTCTAAATATCAAATAAGATATTTATATTTTTCTTTGCAGTTAAATAATTTTACCAAAACAAAATTTAAATTTAAAATTGTAAACTTGCCCCTGAAAAAAGAAGCTCTGGTAGGAAGCACCAGCTCTGAATAATTAGCCAGACAAGGCTCCAAGGAACCCGAGACCCGGAAATCCGCCGGCGGCAGCCAGGCCGATTCCAAGTATAGGATTTGTAGAAGCAGCTAGGGCTCCGATACCTAAAATATTAATACTATAAGATGTGAATCAAAGTCTAATAAAGAACGGTATCAAAATCAAGTATCAAAGAAATATCATATATGGACATCCCTTCTCTTAATAGTGAATGTAAAATTGTTTTCAAAGATTTACTAAACCAGTTGCTTTAATTTAATTAAATATTACTATTAAGTTTAAAGTATATTAGACTTTTTCAGTCATTAATTGCCACGAGTTAATATCCAACGTACCTCCTAAGAGAGGGCTTGAGCCCCCAAATCCACCTCCACCGAAGAGACCCATTTGGTTTTGGTTATAGACGGAGCCCAAGGCCAGCCCAAGACCGCCATTAGGTAATCCTCCACCCAGTCCCAACCCTCCACCTAATCCAAGCCCTCCACCATATCCCCCGAGTCCCCCGCCATATCCATATCCTCCGCCGAATCCATATCCGTCCATTCCTCCGTCAACCGGCACCGGCACGTAGTAGTCCTGAGCCACCGGGTAATAAATAATGGTCGAGTAGCCACCTCCACCTTTCCCTACACAAACGAAAATGCCCTCATATCAATGGGTTTTTTTTTCGGAGATGAAAAGTTTTCAATGACTTGATTTACATAAGTAATAAGTTTTTAGTTAAGATTGAACGGGGGTGGGGGGTTACCTTTTCCGTAACCCTTTCCACCACTGCTGCCATATCCACCGTATCCCCCGCCATATCCACTGTATCCTCCGCCATATCCACCATATCCACCTCCATATCCGCCATACCCTCCGTAATCGTAATATCCACCGCCACCGCCACCACCGCCGTACCCGCCTGCCAGGCTAGCGCCAACACACAACGATACCAACAGAGTCGTCAAGATGGCCTTCATTTTGTCTCTAAAGGGATTACTGTACAGTGTCACAAATCTTTTCTTGTAACCAACTAAAGAATGCTAAAATTTGTTTCAAACTAGGGAGTTAATTAAACAAACCGAAAATGAAAACCTATATTTAATTTTAAGTACTACTGGTGTAAATCTAGCATTCGAAAGTCTTTATATGCAATTTAAAAATAAATTTAAAAGATTAAGGCATTTTGCACGATCTATTATCGATAATTAATTGCAGTCTTCAAAAAAAAGTTAAATATGTCAAGATATTTTAACATTTTTAATTTTGAAATGAATGTAGACGAAGCTTCTTTAAAAGAAAACCTTAATAACATATACAACTAAGAACCTATTCAGAACGCTAAAGATAATTTTACACTCACAACCCTGGGGACTTCTGTTCCCTGCTACCTTGTCCAGAGTGGAGCCCAAATCTCAAAACATCCAATTTATTTTATACCTATCTACCATTATTATATCTGATGGGGTACCCGATGGGAGTTTAGTGTATTTGTAAACTATTTACAAGTATATTATATTCAGAAAACAGTTCTATTGACAAAGCATTGAAAATATTTTTGGGTTTTCTCTATTACTTATAGGAAAGAGACATAAATATTTTTTATGGGCATGTCCCCTTCATCATTTTGTTTTTTAAACCCTAAACCCCCCTACCCTACCCCAGAGCATCTTTTTGATGATGGACACTGTGGTTTGATTGGCTTAGTGCCCCTTTCCTGTTGTGTATAACAGGTTATCTCACGCTGTGATTGATCATACACGTAATCACGCGAGATCTCGCCAGGTACACGTTTCACCTTTGCATGTGGAAGATAAGTCTTCTCGGCGATTTACTGATCATCTGTTATACATTTCTCGTAAATTTTTGTAACAAATACATGAAATACACATATGAATACGTTTATGTTCACATTATCTCCATACGCTTGAGAAAAATGAAAACATAAATCTAAAGAAAAACAAATAAAAATGGAAAGGGAAAAAATTGCAAGAGGGATCAAGTGAAACGCAACAATTATTTGATTATTATCACTTCAAAAAATTACTACCTTGAAGACTTGCATATTTTCATATGATATAGTTACATACATGTGTACTTTCTTTTTCATTACAGTTCACTCGATCGTGCTTTCTTCATTTTTATTTAATCAAAGTACTATTTAATTTCCATTCTTAAAAAAAATTGTAACTTGAGATAAAATTTCACAGACTAGGAAAAAAGACTCATTTCAAGCTATTTTTTCCACCATCCTTACAGAAATTTTAAGAAAACGTAAAAACTAGATAATATGGAAAATTAACTCCAGAGATATGCATATACCTATATTTCATTTCGAAGTTTTAGAAGTTTAATACAAAAATACACATTTTCTCCATTTAGAATTCATCTTCATAACTTTTTGATGTTATGAAATGAATATTGATAATAAATGGGAAAAAATTTAAAGTTATCACAGAAATTTAACATAAAAGTAAATTTCCCAAATGCATTTGTTTGTTTACAGAATGCTGCATTGCAAAAAAAAAAAAAAAAAAAAAAAAAAAAAAAAAAAAAAAAAAAAAAAACGAAAATGTTCTATTTCAGAAAAGAAAATGATCAAATCTTAAAAAACAGCATTTTTTCATTTGCATTTATGTTGTAAACTACAAATACTTAAAGTCAAACATTACTGAGATATTAGTTTTCTTCACAAAATACACAGTATTAAGAATTTCAAATATGAACATGTACTCGATCTCAAAAGGAAAAAAAAAATATTATGCATGCACATAATAGTATTAAAAAAGTTTTCGTAGAAGTGAAAGCTTTGAGAATTAATTGACGAAATTTGTGTGCGTGTAAAATACAATATCTGAAAAAGATTACAACGAGCGAAAACATCATTAAATGAATGATCACTTTTTCCAAAATTTTCTCTACCTTTTAATTATATGTATAGAAACTTTCATCCATTCACACAATTACGGAACTGCGGCTTGGCCCCTGCGCCCTGCTTCCGTTGCGCAGTTGTATCACAGAGTCAATCCATCATCTTGCGTTACAAAGTCAAACAAAATCACGATCATAGAACTAGTATATCTATCAAAATCACCCCACAGTTCGAGAACACCTTTTACGGGGACGTTTTTGTCTTGTGTAAGGTTGAATCAGGTCCTGGTATTTAAGATTTTGGCCGTGTAAACGATCTATCCATTTGGTGGAATCCGTGGATCATAACAGCAAGGTATACGTCTGTGATATCAGGTTTTCATTTCCCTGTGATTAGAATCCTATTTTGAAGAAAATAAATAATTGTTTGGATTTTTAACTTTTCTTAAAGCATATAATTCCAACATTGCTAAACTATTTGACTTTGTAAAGCAGTGATTAATTATCAACAAGTACATTTAATTCCAACCTGAATGAGAAGGATCAGATTCCTTTCAAATTTTAGAACTATTGTCTTTAAAACATTCCATGTCTTGTAACCTTTTCTTTTTTGAAAATATCAATATTTTTAAAAATAATGATATCCCTTTAAATTTTTTGAATGCCAACGGAGTGTACAAAGGTGAAAAGTTTGCATTATTTTCGTTCAGATGCGGATCCTGGTAGCGATCGCCGTGGTGACTGTGTTTTCTTGTGTGACTGCTGATAGTTATGGCGGGGGATATGGCGGAGGATATGGGGGTGGATATGGGGGAGGATACGGTGGAATGTACCCTGCCATGAGTGGATACGGATACAGTGGATATGGAGGATATAGTGGATACGGCAGTGGTGGTGGTGGTGGATATAGTGGATATGGCTCCGGTGGAAAAGGTGGAAGTAGGGGAGCGCTCTACATTCCCTATAGTTACCCCAATCCCATCCCCTACCCTTTCCCCGTGGGTGGTGGTGGATATGGGGGAGCTGCTGCTGCTGCCGCTCTCCCATCTTTACCTAACCCTGTCCCCCTTACCTTAGGGACTAGCATCAATCAACAAAGAAATCAAAACCAGAACGGCCTTCTTGCTGCTATCTGTAAGTATTAAGCGGAAAAAATTACTCTAATATTTAATTGAGCGGCTTATATTTACAGAAGAGCTTCAACGGTATGATGTTTTTCCTTTAAGTATACAATCTGATTTGATTTTAGTGGGAGCTGCTCTTTTATACTGGCTTTGGAGCCAGAACAATAACACCACCACTGGATAAAATGGGAGTAAGAGTACTTCTGTCCTCAGTCACAGTGAGTCATTATTGTTACCAATTTCCCTTACTTTGCTCATAAAATAAAATGAATGAAATGTGTTTTGCTTTGCCATAAGCGTACTTATTAAAAGTGACTTAATTTGGAAAATGAAAGTGAAATGTGCAATACAATCCCAAAATGTTATTAAGATAAGACTTTTTTGCCGAATATGAGCGAATTAAAAAGAAAGTCACAATTTACATCTATTTGAAAATCAGGAGATAACATGTATATAGTAACCAGACACTGCTTACATCGGTTTTGTTAATTTTCATTTTTATTTTTCAGATTGTTCATCACGCAAACTTAAATTGGTCGCCCGTAGTATGTTTCTTATTGTATCGTTTTGCATTTGCTATTAAAAGCACATATACTCAGCTCTTTTCTTTTTGTCTTTCCATACCGATTGTGTGTATCTTACGTATTCAAACAACCGGGATTGTTTAAGAAACACCGTATAGCACTCGTCCCTCTTCACACACACAACCAATCAGAAAAATAACGAGATGATTTTCTTCATATGAGAGCAAATTCAAATGACTTACATTCATAATTTTGAGTAGGGAGAATAAATAATTTTCTGCAAATATATGGTTTTAGGTTGAAATAATACACCCCAAGAAAAAACTTGAAAATGAAACTAATTGTTAAATTTATTTATTTAGGCATTTGTTTTTTTTATATAAAAATTCCAACATTAACACTGATCTGTAGAACAAAGGGAGAAAACATGTCGTGACGCGTAGGAATACTGGTATACATTTTAATTTAATAATGAAAGCAAATTTTGATTTCAAATGAGATAAAGGAATTTTAATGAAGGTGGGGGAAATAGCATTAAGAAAAGCACAGCATAAATCTGGAAGAATGATATGATAACAAAATATAAAAACGGAATAAAATACATGTATGTTACTGAGCATGTAATTTTCTAAAATATTTGTTCACAAATAATGCAATGCAGAAGTTCAGTAAACTGTCATGTTCTAAGTTTTGAACATTAAGTGAATTGTATCAAGAGAGCAAGGTGTTGCACAGATGAAGTCTAGTTCTAATAGTAAAAAAAAATGTGGTGGGTGCACGGTCATTACCGGCCGCCAGGAGGCGGTCGGTTATTTGATATGAAAGTTTTACAGAGGCGTAGTCACAAACTTAAAAGTGGGGGGGGGGGGGCTCAAATCCAAAAAAGATCTAAAACGTGTAATATAAAGAAATTAACAGGCCTGTAGGAAGCAATTTCACTGTGAGTGGGCACAACTATATATTCTCAGTTGGGGGCGCTATCAATTACCAGAACTCCTTGACAAGTTATTTGATATGAAAGTTTTACAGAGGCGTAGTCACAAACTTAAAAGTGGGGGGGGGGGGGGGCTCAAATCCAAGAAAGATCTAAAACGTGTAATATAAAGAAATTAACAGGCCTGTAGGAAGCAATTTCACTGTGAGTGGGCACAACTATATATTCTCAGTTGGGGGCGCTATCAATTACCAGAATTCCTTGACAAGCAAAAAAAAAAAAAAAAGGTAATCAGACGTTTTTATTGAGGGGGCACAATGTAGCTATGTTTTCTATAGTATTCTATATATATATATATATATATATATATATATATATATATATATATATATATATATATATATATTGGAGGCCACGTATAAAGTATATTACATTACTATTACTTCAAGAGAAATGCTTACTCAGTTGTTGCTGAAAATTAAATAAACAAAATAAATTTGCCATAAAATGAGGTTTACTATAATTTCAACATAGCTGTGATTTTGTTCTACATTAAGTGGGGGGGGGGGGGGCACAGTCATACTCTTGCCCCCCATATCTGAAAGTGGGGGGGGGGGGGCTAGTGCCCCCACTGCCCCCCTGTGACTATGCATATGTTTGAAGGACCTTTGAAGTTGTCAGATTTTTTTCATTTTTGCACCTGAGATTTCTTAAATAACTGCCACCAACATCCTTAAGTTTGGTGATCTAATTCCCCTTATTGCTGGAGATATGATGCATTTATCTCCCTTACTCCAGAGCAGTCAAGAATACACACTGAGCACTCTGACAGAAGTTTTTTGTGCATATTTTGAAGCAGAATTTCATCATTAATAGACTAAGTCTGGCAAACAATTTTTTATCCTGGAGAGTATATGCATTGTTCTTCACAACAAACAAAAAATAATTCACAAGTCTGAGACCATAATGCAATTATTACATAACAAAATTGCATTTTACCCTCCTAAGAATGATAGAATTTACAGAAATTGTTAAATATTAGACTGATAATAAAATCTGCATCTGGTCAATTTATGTTCCAAATAAAGCCTAGGTACTTGTCTACAAGCTGATGTGCAGAAGTTTATCTTAAAAGCTGTGTTGTAACACAGGGCAGTCCAAATGATATCAGCACCTAGGGAGAATCTGGACAGCTCCCACACTCCATTAAACTTGCTTTGATGATAAGAAAATGGAGAAAAAAATTCAGATGTAATTTATTGTTTTGATTTATGTAACTGGCTTTCTTTGCAGACACAAATTAGCCATGAAATTCCAATTGAACATGCATAATTATCCTCTTTCCATTGGATTACTCAGGAATTCCAAAGGTGTTTGATGAATTTGCATGATTAATTCAGCTTTTTGTTTCACCAAATTTACATAAAAATTCAACATTGAAATTTCAAAATATAAATCTTAAACATTTTTATGAGTTATAACACTTTCAAGTGTGAAAAAATGCAACAAAAAGACTTATATCAAGCCATTCCTCCATGGTTCTTGGGGGTGGGTGGGTGTACAAAAACTGCTGATAAAATTTATAGGAAGTGACATAAGAAAAACAGGGCACTTTATTAGCTGAATTATGGTTATTCTGATATTTTGATTGTGTAAATGTGTCAAATTTCTTCATCACTTTTATTTGTAATTTATTAATATTTCAGTATATAAATCTGCTTAACAAATCATGCTGAAATAAGCATCCTGACTGAGACTTAATTTAAAAGAGAGGGTCAAAACCTACATAAAAGTGCTAACATTACAAAACACATTCTCCGACAAACTGAAAAATCATGAATGTCAGCTGCGTAAGCATGCAAAAAGTCCAGAGAACCACAACAGGCATACCATGGTGCTAAGTGACATTCTGTACTACATGTGTGCTACATGATTAGAACTCTGAATAAGTATTCACTCTCATGCCCTGACAGAATTTATGCATTTTTTGGTCATAAGCTTCTTATTTTTGAAAAATTCTAAATAAATTTTACTTGTGCATTATTTTTATTAGACAAATTTACCTCATTTCATTATTTCTATTCCTCCACTGCAGTAATACGTTATGCATCACTTCAGGTGAATAAAATGAAAGTAAATCCACTCTCTGTAAAATTTATCACTCTGTGAAAAAATGTTTTACTTCTTCACATTTTATCGCAGTTGTCACTTTTGTTGAAAACTCATTCGCAAACCCAGAATTAGTCTTTTCTTGAAAAAATCAGCCTAAAGTACTTTTACGGCAAAGTCTGTAGACACTATAATTGACTGCGGTTAAGTGGTGCACATAGTTTAAAGTCATCTAAAATTAAAAAACCAACATTTTCTAACTTCTTTCTACATGTCAGATGCATAATCCTACTTTGAAAGTCATAATTTGAAGTTTTGAGGGTAAAACATGATATATTATAAGTATTTTTCACAGAAATCTGTAAAAATTCAATTCAACCCTACTTCTAACTTTAAAAATATGTGCTTTCACACAGAAAGTTCATAAAATGACATATTTTGTTGAAATATGCCTTTTAAAAATTAAAACAGCCTTTTATATTGATGCAGATGATTTTACACAATCACCTTCAAGGTATCACACCGGTAATTGTTTTCACTATATGTTTCTATATAGGAAAAAAATTCTTAAAAAATCAGGTAAATTAATTCATGAAAAAATATTTAGCAGGAAGTATAAAACAATACTTCTCTCATTAGCCCAGTCCAAAAAACAGGGTACCTACACGGCATTTTCTGATTTTTTCCATCTGCAAACAGGGCTACCCTCAAATCCACGTGTTTTCAATGTGTTTATAAACACCTCCAGTGCACCCCAAGAAGAAGCCTCCTATGCCCTGAAAAAAATAGTTCCTGTCAAAAAACTTTATTTATTTAAAAAGTACATTAAATTTACTAGGCACAGGTACCAAAGTTGTAAAAATAGCCTGGAAAAAAATTTTAAAAATTATCAAAAGAAAGAAAAATTAATTTTATATGTATGGAACTACAATTGAGTTCATTTTGATTGGTCAATTACCGGTGTGATACCTTGAAGTAGCCGTGCGTTTCTGAGGAGCTAAAACAAATAAAAGTATTTAACATTCATATAGAATATTAATCAAGAGTGTCTAAATGTTTAACAAGAACGCACAATAATTATAAAATTAAAAAAAATGAATAAATAATGGGGTAAATATTTTATCTGATCGAATCCTGATTGACGAATTTTGAAGTGCGGAGAATCCTATTCAGCACACGTGTTTGGCATTACCTAATTCAAAGACCGAGATATATATAATCAACATTACTTTCTCAGTTTAAGGATTCATTATATTTGTTTTAAAATGGCGTAAAATAAACATTTCATATGGAATTTTTTTTAAAAAAGTTTTGACTTCTTAAAAGACAAAATACAGATTGTCACGAAATTTTTGCTCCAGCAAACGAGGATAAAGCGCGTTTTACAATGTGCCAAGCATTTTCCCGCCACATCTCAATGAAACTGAAAGAAGTGCAATGGTGGATCTAAAGGGGGTTGGTGGGGTTTCAGCACTCTCCTTTGGATTTGCTTAAGAGAGAGAGAGAGAGAGAGAGAGAGAGAGAGAGAGAGGAGTCCCAAATATTTGTTTTGTTTTACTATTAAAGTAAAATATTCCATGAAACGCAAATTATGTATGAGAAAGATTTGGTTGTTGAAAAATGAAATCCGCACCTGCAATGTCACATGCAATGTTTTATGTCACTGGGTTATATTAACAGATTAATATCAGATGTATTAACAACAGATCACGCATTTCAGTTTCTTGCCTCAGAAAAGAGACAATTGGTTTGCGGCCGATTTTTTGACGCTTGCGTCAATATGTTTTTTGTTAGTACGTACGTCATATTTTCGTAACTTCAACGACTCTTTTGTCGGTTGTGTATGTAATTTGTCGGAAAAATCCGAAAAGTAGGGAAACTCGATTCCGATGTTTGCAACGTTAGAGTATATATAAATCGGGTTAAAAATTTAAAAAATGACGAAATTTAATGTACGATACGCACCAAACGCAAGGAGTTTTTCTGAAAGTGTAATATAAGCAGAATGTAATACGGCA